CGTCAGTACGATGAGAATGACAATGCTATTAAGAGGTAAGCCTTCGGCGCACAGCGTCTGAACCTGGTGGGTTTTACAGTTTTGTGGGGCAGTATCGCCCTCTATAGCATGTATACTACGCTGCTGGGTGCTGTAGAGGTAGAGGTTCTGCAGCTCCATGTGTTTCAGCCGTATGACTGGGGTGTACTTGTTGAGGGCCCCTTCCCAAACTGTGCGCATGTATTTCCCCTCAAAACATCATCACATGCCTGGAAACGCTGGGAAATTCATATGGAGATGTGGATTTCTATGCTGTGTAGACAGGAAGGGCCCGTGTAGCTGAAATGTGTTCTTTCTTTTCTCTCTCTGGTTCATGAAGCATGCGCATGTGGACATGCCACTTTCTTCCCAGTTTTCGGAAGATGCGACCGTTCAAGGCCCTGGGCATTCCAGTTCACAGTGTGTTCAGCCTGGACGACAGGCCGCCTGGTCTGCACTGCACCACCGGAACTATTCCTTACGATCCTTACGAATGTCGTCGTTGTCGTCGGCTGCGTCGTCGTTCTTGATTCGTGCGGATCTTCTTGCTTTGGTGTGGTCTTTCTTGCTCTTTTGTGTTGTTTGCTCTTCCTCTTGATTTCTGTTTTTTCTTCTTTTACGCACCCTTCATTCTTAGTCATCGCTGGTCAAGGTTGGGGCTCCAAGCTGTGAAGGAAGATCCCCGAACGGAACTGAAAGAAAGTCTCCGGTCGTCCAGGTGGCTAAGCAACCCCGAAGCCAGAAAGTGCAGAGCGTTGTGTTTCGCACGTGGCTCTTGGGAGGGTTCAGGGAGATCAGCTTGGTGATGGGGTGTTTCTCAAGAGGGCTTGTCGCCCCAAGATTCTCAGCGAGTGCTCTTGCACCCCTTCAGAGAAGCGCCCTCTACAACCCCGAGACCCTAAGGTAGAAAATCGTGCTGCATGGGTAGGCTGCCTAGGTTGCCTGGGGTCTCAGAGTAGCCTCGGGTTTAAAGTTTTCGGGTGTGACTGCCAAGCCGCTCAACGTCTGAGGTGCCCGATTTCCTCTTGGTTCGACGACTTGGAGAGACGTGCGCAGACTCGGTGGCTTGATCCAATGTGCAGCTTTGTGAGAGCTCGGGTGAGCGGAGCACGTGATCCGCTTTTGTGGTCCTCGTCAGTCGTCCTCGTCAGTCGTCCTCGTCTGTCGTCCTCGTCTGTCGTCCTCGTCTGTCCTCTTCTGTCGTCCTCTTCTGTCGTCCTCGTCTTCGTCCGTCGTCGTCGTCCGTCGTCGTCTGTCCCGTAACACAAACCGTTGTGGTCAACCACAGGGCCTGAGGAGATAAGCAAAAGTCAAAACAAGCCCCCCTCGAATCGCAGAAGTCGTCGCAAAACCCTCCAAGCTCCTCCCCGCCTGAGGCCCCGCATTCGCATCGAGACTCTTTCACTTGAGTTTGTGAGCCCGGTGCGGTTTGTGCGGAAGGAGCACGGCCCCTCGGCCGTGTTTTTGAGAGCTTCAGGGGTTTGCGAACTCCGGGCGCTTTTTTTTGCAAGAGAAGAGCTCTCAGGGTTTTGGGGAGAGGTTCTGAGAATCTTGGGCATCGCGAATTTCGGCGCCGGGAGGCGCCGGAATTTTTTTTTCGAGAAGCCTCGGCGCCACGAATTGGGGATGTGTGTTTGGGAAAAGGGTCTACAGGCCTTGCCCACCTTCAGCCCAGGCTGCGATCCAGTGCGAGACTTTGGTCTGAACCATGCTCCTCGGGCCCAGCAAACCCTAAGCCCTAAACCCAAAACCCCCCAAGAACGTTTTTTGGGGGGTCTTCGGGTCTTCATCGTAGGTTTCGCGTTTGAGCTTTCCTCAGTCAGGGTCATGAAAGGCCGCGTCGACCAACCGTCACCACTATCAGGACTATCAGTATGGTGTTTCATTTTGTGGGTTTTTAGGGGGGGTGGGGGGCGTTTTGAAGGCCACGCTTGAGGATCCCTCAGGCAAGAGCCTTACAATCTTACAAGAGTCACAACTTCTAAAGGTCTAAGATCCGTGTTTAGTGGTCATCACCGTCGGTAGTAGTGGCTCACGTGCCCAGATATCTGCCGGAATCTGCCTCAATCCCCCGAAGTGAAGTGGGTCCCGAGCCCTTGTCCGAAGCCTCTCAGACCAGACCCAAACCGGTGCGAAGTTAAGGAGATGGCTTCAAAGCGCGCGTCGATTTACGGGCGGCCAATGTGGATCATGCACCTCGGCTCCATTTTCAGGCAAGCAAGACAGCTGCAGCACCGGAAAACAAGAGCGCAAGAAGAGGCAAGAAGTACAGAAAGACACTTCGGCACGAGGCACCCTTTACTCTGGTCCAAACATGCTCCTTTCTTCTTTAGCAGGTTTTCCTTCAGCAACCAGTTCTGTTGTCCAGAGATCGCGATGAGCAAGTATACTCAGCATGCTGCTCTGAGCTTCAGCAGTAGACCCTAGACCCTGAACCCTAAACCCTAGAACCTAAACCCTGAACCCTGAACCCTAAACCCTAAACCCTAAACCCCAAACCTAGAGGAAGCAGACCACTAAGGGTTCAATTCTTGCCCGCGCAGCTCCCTGAGGCTAAACGAATCGACGCATCATGAAGTGGCAGCCTCGGCTCGCGGTTTAGGGTTTGGTTTAGGGTTTAGGGTTTAGGGTTTAGGGTTTAGGGTTTAGGGTTTAGGGTTTTGGGGTATAGGGTTTAGGGTTTAGGGTTTAGGGTTTAGGGTATAGGGTTTTGGGTTTAGGGTTTAGGGTCTAGGTTCCTTGCTATCCTGTACCTGCATGAGCGCAAGGTCCGCGTGTGCCTGAGACGGTTTCATAGAAAGCCTCAACTCGCAACAGCAAACCCTAAACCCTAAACCCTAAACCCTAAACCCTAAACTCTAAACCCTAAACCCTAAACCCTAAACCCTAAATCCTAAGTCCATGTGTGGGGGCTGGTTCCGCATTCTTCGCCTCCTATTTTTTTGTTGGCTGAAGCGAGTCAGAGGTAAAGCCGGAGCCCTAGACCATCAAGCCTAACCTGAAACCCTCAACCCAGAACCCTATTTTCGGGCTTAGGGTTTAGGGCTTAAACCCTAAACCCTCAACCCTGAACCCTGACCCCTAAACCCTAAACCCACCCAGTACCGGAATTGCAGAGTTCCAAGAGAGGTGTTGCCGATTCATAGCTTTGACATCAGTCGCTTTCTCCGTGACAGCAGCCGTCCAACTCAGGCCCTGCCGTGGTTGGAGTTGTTTTTTTTGGACTCCTTCTTTAGGGAGTTTCGGGCTTAGGGAGGGTTCAGGGTTTAGGGTTTAGGGTTGAGGGTTGAGGGTTGAGGGTTGAGGGTTGAGGGTTGAGGGTTGAGGGAGACGACAGGCAGTAAAGATCATGCGCGCGTTCTCAGTTGCGTGATTAGAAAGAGACCTGGCCTAGAATCCCAGAACCCCCCGCACAGATTTTGCTTTCAATGCAAGTTACACATATGTCGCGGTGATTGCCTTAGGAACACGATGCAGTGAAGATCGCGAAGAAAAGCCCGCACTCTTCATGATGCCATGTCTGAGATGATCTTCCTTTCGAAATTCCTGCAGTGGGTCCATACCTATAACCCAAACCCCTACATCATGCACGGCAACAAGTAGCCCCAACCAAAAGAAACCTGCACCCTAAACCTTCCCCAAACCCGAAACCCTAAAACCCTAAACCCTAAACCCTAAACCCTCCTGTGGACCTGTTCAGGCTGCGACCTCCCCCTCTTATATTCAAGGACATCTGCCGCGGAGCCGAAAAGCGCCAGGTGTGTTGACGTTAAGGAGGGAAGGTCCATGGAGGTCGACTTCGACCAGAAGTGTTCTGTAAGAATGGTTGCATTTCTGAGGGCTCCGCATCGTGCTGAAAGAGGCCTCGTCGATTCGCAATCCATTTCCCTACATGTGCAAGACTCGGTAGGCTTTTGGCTTTGGGGCATTTGACATTTTCCCTTTCGGGTTGAAGAGTATCAAGGAATAGTTCTCAGAGGGTTTTAAGAGCCATAAGGCTTGCGACTTCTGGGGCACAAGCAACCAAAACTTACTGTTGGCTAGTAGGGAGTACCCTATATCCCCCTGCATATACCCTTTAGGAGATTATATAGGTTACTTCATTCCCTCAGTCCCTACTAACCAGCAGTAAGAAGATGGGTTTAGGGAACTCCCTGGGGCACAGTGGCTGCAGAAATGCCGGCCATAGAAGTCTGCGGCCCATTCATGGCCTCATGGCTTAGGGCTTAGAGTTTAGGGCTTAGGGCTTAGGGTTTAGGGTTTAGGGTTTGGGGTTTGGGGTTTGGGGTTTGGGGTTTGGGGTTTAGGGGAGTTGCGGCGGAGAGTAGACAAAAGCATGGTGCGATCAAGCATCTTTTGTTGCTCAAGCAGATGACTGTAGCTCGTGGATTCAAGTCTGGGTGTAAGCATGCTTGATGGTTCGACCTGTCAGGCCGCTCACACCTTTATACAACACCGAATCCATTCTCCCCGCGTTTTGTAGCTACAAGCTCCTTCTCAATTTGGTGGTTCTCATGTGATGTCCGCGACTCCCGCACCAGGCCGGTGTCTTGCTTTGCAGCTTCGGGTTGGAAGGTGCATTCAAGATTTAGAGTTAAAGGTTGGGATGCTCCCCCTCATACTAACGGTCCTTAATTGGGAATATAGTACTCCCATGTTAGAATCCCTAGTAAGGACTGTGAGTACAAAGGCGAAACATCCCAAAATAAAAGGCTTCAAAGGCAAGTCGCATTGCAAATCGAGTTGCAGTCTTCAAGTCGAAGTCCACGGTGTTCCCACGTCTGTGGTTCGGCTTTGGGGCTTTGGATTAACACCTCCGAAGGATCCCCCGCAGTTTTGGGGATCTTCTTGGGCGGGTTTCGCCCGTCATCGTGGTTCGGCTGAGTAAGCTAAGCCCGGAATGTCGAGTTTTGGTTCAGCGTGCACAGTGGAATTTCTCTCTCTCTCTCTCTCTCTGTCTCTCTTGGTGAGCCCGCAACACGATGAAACGGCTCATTGTCCTCACGGTCTCTTGGTGGATCTTGATCCTTGCCTACGTGGGGGCTCCTTGTAGGCTCGTGGGGGAGATTGAGTACCCAGGTAGGTTTTTGGGACATTTTGTGTTTTCCCTTATTGGGGTTTAAGAGGAGATAATATTTAGGAATATATTTTTCAGAGGGCCTTTAAAAGGGCCATCCTAGGTACTACACCATGGCACTGTTTGCGTGCCAACGGCTTCAGGGCCTTCCGGTGGAGCTTCCCACACTGAGCTTGGTCTTCTGCCTCGTGCTTTGCATCGTCTTCCTTCCCAACTCGATGTTGAAAGTGTCGACAATCCGGTGGAACGCCTTGCTGCACAGTATCGGCGTCGCCACTCTAGCCCTCTGTGTCCTCAAGCCTCTGCTTTCCAGCAGCACCATCTTCGAAACGCTCTTCATCGAATCCATGGAGTTCATTGGCATTGTCACAGGGAGGGCGGCGGCCGTTTACTTGGCCGTGATGCTGCTCGTAATCTCCCGGCGCTCGGTGTTGTCAGAGTGGCACGGCTTGGATTACACGGAGACGATTGCATTCCACAGGATTTCTGGATGGTGGGTGCTTGTCATGAGTCTTCTACATTCCCTTGCTTTCGTGGCCTACTACTTGCAGAGAGGTGGATGGCGTGAGCTTTTAGAGTCATGCATTCCGGTAGCGCTTTCGTGCAGCGATCCAGAGGATCCATCGGCTTGCTGGAACACACTTGGGCTGGTGAACGGCTTTGGAGTAGTTGCAACTGCTGCAGTCAGCATCCTGGCCTTCCTCTCGCGAGAGCAAGTGCGCCGCGGTGCCTACAACCTCTTCTACTTCACCCACGTGGCCCTGTCTTTCTTGTTCATTCTTTTCTGTGGGCTCCATGACTTTCCCATGGTGATTCTTATGTTTCCCGGCCTGGCGTTCTACATGAAAGACCGGATCGTGGCTTTCTTCACCCGCCAGGAACTTTCCGATGTATCAGCAGAAGTTCTGTGCCGAACCGGCACTTCCGACGTGATCCTCCTCACGTGGAGCACAGCACCAGACACTAAGTTTATGCCCGGCACCCGTTGGGTCTACCTCCAGGAGCCGCGTGTTTCCAGAATGCAGTGGCACCCATACTCGGTGGTCCAGCAGGGGTGCCGCGCGCAGGTGCTCGTCAAGGGCGCGGGGGACTGGTCCGAAGCCCTCTGCAGCAAGGCGTCCCGGGTGTCCCAGGATTTCAAGCTCCGAATTGAGGGCCCCTATGGTAAGCCCAATGTCCAAGATGTCCAAAGCAGCTCCCTGAGTTCACTGAGTTCCCTGCCGCCCCGCAAGCTCCTGCTCGTTGCAGGACTGGGCTTCACTGCAGGTTCTCTCACAGAAGACACTGCAATTCTGTAGCCGCTTTAGCCGTGTTAGGTTCACACGGAAGTCCGAGTCCGAAGGCCCCCCCCCCCCCCAAATACGTAGTTAGATTCCACACGCAATTTTTTGAGAGGCGGCGTTGGCATCTCCCCTTTCATCGACCTCCTCTGCGGTCTGCACTTGGTCCAGGAGGGGTGGCAGGTCCAGGTGCTTTGGGCCGTTCGGGGTGAGGAGTTCGCTGGGATCGCAGCGGCGGTGGACTGGCGGCGACTTTGCCAGAAAGCGGAGATTTCGGTCTTCGTCACCTCGGGAGGCGCGGTGGAGTCGCCTCGTAGGCTGGTCGACCACAGGATGGGCTCGAGCTGCGATGTGGAAGCCGCCGCGGGCGCCCGCCAAAGGTGCAGGCACAGGGTGCTGATGCTGTCCTTTCTGTTCATTACACTGGGTGCGGTCGCTGCGGACTTTATCGTGCACAACTGGAGCATCTGGGCCCGGCGAAGGGCCTACAGTCTCCTCTCCTGGACCTCCCTTGCCCGATGTGTGCCGCTGCTTCTGGTGTTCATGGTCCTCCTGGTTGTTACTATATCCCCCTTGGGAATTAGTGTTATTTTTGTTTATATAAAGCCCAAGAGGATATTACAAATAGTATCTTTATTAAGGTTCTAAGGGGAGTATAGGTTACCCTACTGAACTTCACGCTCCAGCGGCTCTCAGCTCTCAAAGCACGCTGGGGCCGCCTGGAGGACTGCGCGCACTTGCGGGAGGAGAGAAGAGCCGAGGCCAGGAACCAACCCCAAAACCCCAAACCCTAAATGGCCCCAAAGCCCCAAAAACACACCCCAAACCCTAAACCCCAAGCCCAAAAAACCCTAAATCCTAAACAGGGTCCAGAGCCAAACCTTCGCATCCAGCATGCGAAGCCGGACTTGCAGCAGCTGGTGGAGCAGCAAGCGGAGCTGGGGCCGGTCGAGGTAGGGGGTGGAGGCTTCCCAGCATGTGGTTTAGGAATGTTTAGGAGTGGTGAAACTCTAAACCTAGACAGCCCCGAAGATTCGCAGAATCCCAAATCCGACGGCCTAAGCCCGAAAGCTGGCAGGTGAAGGTGTGCGGACCCCAGCGGATGCTTGCATCGATCGATGCCACGGTGCTTCAGCTGAAGAAACGCGGCCTCAGCGTCGAGCTCGACCGCTTGGAGTCGAGCCTATGAGTTTTAAGATGCTGAGGCTGTTTCTGGCCTCCTGCTTGGGGGGCCTAAAAACTTTTTGGGGGGCCTTTTAGGGTTAGGCTGAGTTTCCTAGGGTGCTCAATGCCCGATGAATCACGGCCATGTTCCAGGACCAAGTTCTTTGTATTGCCGGGCGATCGGAGATGCGAAGCTGGGCGCTGCGCAGGATCTGCCAGCGCATCCGGCATGGTCCGTCAGTAAACTTCCGCCTCATCCCGATCACCGGCTCCGAATTCGTGAGTTGCAGAGTATCGTCAGTGTGTATAGCTGTGCTGGCATTTCGCCGAGATGAACTCGCGCAAATTAACTTGTAGAATTGTCAATTGAGGGGTGGTGATGATGCCTTCCTAGGTGCTGTGAGTGTGCACGGCACCGTCCTTGAAGACGGTCCCCACACAGAAGGCCCAACTTGTAAACCTTATAACGGTCGGCCCAGAAGAGGACCCATCACAGATGCCGACCTGCAGACCACTTCAGGAAAAGCTTCGAATCATGGCCGGAACATTGCTGGGAGGTTCAGGGTACTCATTAACCAATTATTATAACTGTACTTATAACAATGTTAGGGCACTTAAGGGGCTTAGAAGTGGGTTATAAGTACACTTGTAGTTGGTTAATAAGTACCATGACCCTCCAAGTATGACTCCCCAAGCAGAGGCCGACACGAGTCTCTTTTCCTCCATGAGCCCAAAGCCCACGGAGTTGTTCGAGGCTTGCCCATTGGCTGCTTATGAGAACACGTGAGTTAAAGGGCTCCTCTCCACAATCGCCTTCCCCTCTGCTGAACAGGTTTGGCTGGGATGTCCTTAGGAGCTGCAGGCACGCTTTCCTAATCGGAGTCTCAGCCCTGCCACAACTTCTACAGTTCACAGAGGGTTTAGGGTTTAGGGGGCCACGCTTGAAACCACGCCGCAGGAGACGAGGCTGCGGCCGGCCATTCTGGAACTCGCCGCCGGCAAATGGGGGGGTTTCCGAAAATTGGGGTACCTAATTGGGGGGTTTGTATTTGGGGGCACGAAACAAGAGGCAAGCAGCTTTTCACACCACAGGGCATTTCGGCAGCTCTTGTTGTGAGAAAATGGGCCTTTGCATCTGCGCGTGCAACTGCGTGCAATGGCATCAGCTGTGGAGCCTGGCGGTCCACCGACAAGAACCCTAAACTTTCAACCTCCAGCCCCCGTGAACCTTCAAAGCGAATGGGACCAGAGACGTACAGGAGGCAGCTTGAACTTCCAACCATGGTTTTGAGCTTGCCTGCACCTCGAGTTCCACGATCATTGTTTAACCTAATTTGTGAGGGCTCGTTGGCAAAAGGCTATGAGCTGCTAGCTGCAGGTGCTACCAGAACAGGGCTTCCAGCCGGGTGCAGTCCTAGAACCAAGCGGTGGTTTTTAGTTAAGTGTGAGGCTTCTCAACGTGTTCTTGAACAGCAACCTGGCAGATTCCATCTGCGTCCTAGTAGTCTCCGCTCAGCTGCTATAGTTTTGCTGCCACTTGCAAGGGCGTGCACCATGCGCAATGCGTCACAACCTTCCCCTTCACAGCCACAACCACAACACTGGATCGTGCCACATTCTTCTTAGACGAAGGTCTTCACCTACCATGTCAAGCCTTAGGCCTCTCCTTCCGCAACTTTGACCTGAGATGTTGCAGGCATTGAACTAGGGACCGTGGCTCTTGAATCCCCACATCCCTTGAGCACGCAACGGCATGGCCGCTGTGTTTGTGACTTGCATGGACGCCCCCCGGCCTCTTCCGGCTCGAGCCTTCCACGTTCTATTTTCGTATAAGCCAAGGGGACTCCACCCCAAAGGGGTGAGATGTTGGGTCTGCCATGGCTAATTTTGACACTGGCTGTACAGGGAGCCGCCGTGGAAAGCAGCGCGCGGGGATCGGAAGCGAAGTTGATGTGGCCTGGCCTCGGCTTTGTGAGAAACCGACCCCGAACTGGTTTAGGGTTTAGGGTTTAGGAATTAGGGTTAGGGTTGAGGGGGGGGTGGAGGGTGGGTGGGGGGTGGGGTGTGGATCTTGTGCCCTACCCCCATCCCACCCATCCGAAGACCAGCCCTAAACCCTGAGACCAAGGCAAGAGAAGGGCACAGACTGCAGCGCCTTCCTGCAGTCTTTCACGCACTCGACCCGGGACCCGGCTTGGGTCATTGTGGGAATCAGGGTGCCGGGTTTCGGGCTCAGGGTTTAGGGTTTGGGGATTCAGGGTTTAGGCCTTGTGTCATTGCTTCAAGCATCCGCAGTGGAAGGACCTGATCGAAAATGAAAGCGATGACCAAGAATCCTGGCGTGGCCTTGGGCTCAGAAGCAAGTCGCGGGCCAGGAGGAAGATGGCCATGCCAGCATCCACCAACCCCACACCCTAAAACCCCCAAACCCTAAGCCCTGCATTCCCAGCCGGCCTGGCCATTTCAATAAAGGTGGTTCAGACACTGAGGGTATCCTCAGCCTCTGTTTTTTGTACCGGAACAGGGCTCTCCAGCATGGGCTAACAGTCCACGGCCCCCGGGTTGGTTCTGCAAAATGCCCCCCGCAACCTTGCCGCTTAGCCCTCCAAGTGCCCCACGGCCCACCTTCAAACAAATCAAGGCCAGCGGAGGTGTTGAGTAAACCTTGAGAGGGGGTGGGGAGAGTTTAGGCTACGCGGCTACCAAAGCCTCATAGGCTGTGGCAGCGCAAGCAGAGGGTGGGACTCTACAGATCGGCACGCTGAACCCTAGGCCCCCATACCATCACGGCCCCGGGAGCTGCAAAGAAGCGTTTCAATGCAGGCGTTTTAGGCTTGGGCTTTGAGGATTCTCAGGGTTTTTGTTGTGCGTTTCTAGGTCTTTGTTCAGGTTTGTTGGTTCGTTTTGGGGGTATTCGGGGGCTGTTCTAACTTTTTTTCAACATGGCCTTGAGGGTTGGGGGGTTTAGTGTTTAGATTGTCTTTTTGAGTGTTTACGGTTAGACCCTACAGCTTTAAACTCCCCCGATGCGCGAGGCCGCTGGCCACGCTTGCTCAAGAGATTGAGGGACCGACGCCGCTACCATGTCCAGCCCGTCGACGAGGATTGTAGGGTAGTACCTTTTTGGGGGGGTCCCTGTGAGGGGATGCTGTACTATTTGGGGCATAAAAGGGCTAGCCCTAGTCTGGGAAATACCCACATGCCTTAAACTCGACCAAAGTTGCCACGCCTCGTTCTTGCCGAGTCGTTTGTCGCAGGTTGTGAAATGCATCTGGCATGTCGTCGTTGCATTCCAGATCTTTTGGTCGTTGGCGCGCTTGCTGAGTTCATTTTTTCGGCTTCGGTCTTCCGCTGTTCTTTCGTGCTGCCTCCCTGCGGGGTTCAGGGTTTAGGGTTTAGGATTGAGTCAGGCTTTCTCTCCAAGGCTTAAGCCCAGTCTAAACAGCCGACAGCGGAAGTTGCTGCTTACTGGATCCAGTCACCTCGGGCCGTTTCTGCTTCAGTTTGTCCTTACGTACTTGCAAGCACTCCTTGGACCAAGACCTAAACCCTAAACCCTAAACCCTAAACCCTAAACCCTAAACCCTAAACCCTAAACCCTAAACCCTAAACCCTAAACCCTAAACTCTAAACCCCAAACCCCAAACCCTAAGCCCTAAACCCTGATGCATCGCTTGGCCAAGCTGGTCATTTCTCCAGCGGAAGGACCCGGTCGGACCTGAAAGCGAAGATCAAGATCCCTGGCCTTGCCCCGGGCTCAGACGCAAGTCGCGGCCAGGAGGAACATGGGGCATAATTCCTCAAATAGGGGGTACTATTTATGTACCAAAAAAGTACAAACCCTCATAAAAGGAACCCCCAAAAGGGTGCCTATTTTCGGAAACCTCACATGGCCTCAGTGTGGCCTCAGTATTGCCTCAGTAAGGCCTCCGAGCGCGAAATCCCTAAAACCCTTTTAGCCAAAAGCCTACGAGCTAGACTCATTAACCAATTGTAACTGTACTTGTCCAAGTAAAGCCTAAGCCTAAGAGCAAAACTCTCGCCTTGAATCCTTGCAGCCTTTTGCAACGCCAGGGCCAAAGCGTCGAAGAAGCGGTGGAAGCCTCAGCGCACATTTTGCGCGGTGGGTCAGGGTTCGGGGGTTCTTGCTGTAGGGTTATAGGGGCTTCCAGGGGCTTATTTTCACCATTGCTACCCGGAAAACCCCTACACCCGAAGCCCTCACGAGTCGGATAGCCTCGGGAGCTGCAGGAGCTTCGATGCGTTTAGGCTTCCGGAAGGTTGTGGGCAAAGCTTGGAGTTCTCAGGGGTTCTTGCAAGGGTTGAGGCATCTTCGGGGGGCAGGGCGGGGGGGGGGGGGGGGGAGTTTGTAGGCATCCAGGGGTGTTTCGGCTGCTTTTTTAAATTGCGGGTTAGGGTTCAGGGTTTAGGGTTTAGGGCTCAGGGTTCAGGGTTCGGTTTAGGGTTCAGGGTTTAGGGTTTAGGGTTAGGGTTTAGGGTTTAGGGTTTCTAGAGTCTTTAGGGGCTGAGGGCGGTAGGCTTTAGACTTGAGATGCTGGCAGCCGGGTGTCTGCTGTTAGACTTAAAGCTGTGAACTCTGACACCCTCCTAAAGCCCTCTGCAACCTTCAACTCGAAACCCTGCACCGCAAGCCCTAAGGCGGAACAAGGGCGAACAGACATTCCAACGAATTTATCTATCACCGACCGCTTGTATCTTTATGAATTCATGGCGTGCATGAGATGAGGGATCTGGGTCTTAGGATTCAAGGTTCTTATGAACCAGAGGACTGCTCTTGGGTCCAGGGTTAAGGGTTTAGGGTTTAGGTAGAGTTCTCGGTTGGTTCCTGCGGTGCGGGTTGGGTGTCGGGCTGTTGGTCAGGGTTACGGTGGTTTAGACTTTGGACTTTGGGTTTATGGGTACTGTTTTGTATTTACGTCTTAACAATCCTAGCTTCCCGAGGAGGCGAAAACCGAGCTTCGCTGGCTCTATGGGATCCCAAACCCTAAACCCTAAACCCAAGCC